ACTTCAATCAATCAATCTGCCTAATGCTCTTCCTCTCAAAATTCACCTAATTGAATTGTTTTGATTTTCACAATCACTTCCATCATCAATAAAGAGTAATTTCTCAAGCACCTATTATGAAGAAGATTTGGGATTCCACAATGCCACTGGGTAGCTAAGAGATGGGAAGCAAGGATATAATAGCAATACAAGAAAGCGGAATATAACATCATAATCTCTCATGACAATGGCACGCAAGTCCTAAACGCATCTTTTCTGATTGTACAGTATTATCCTGCCATTTGTGGATAAGGAAGTAGATTTAATCTTTTAGTCATTTATGGAGTCAGTTTTCCTCCCTCCCTTCCTTTTCCCCTGCTTCCCTTCCTCCTTCCCTTCTTCCCTCCCTTCCTCGTTTCCTTTCTTCCTTGCTTCCTCCTTCCCTCTCTCCCTCCTTTCCTTCCTGTATCCCTCCCTCTGTTCCTTTATTCCTTCCTTCCCTCCCTCTTTCCTTCCTTCATTCCTCTCTATTTTGAAATAGGCCTTTGCCATGTAGCATAAGTTGGCCTAGAACTCTTAATCCTCCTGCCCCGGCCTCCAAAGTGCCACCATTATAGGAATGCACCACCAATGCCTGGCTGTTACATGTTTTCATTAAGACACTGGCTTGTTGCTGTTGAGGATTTTTTGTTTGTTGTTGTCTATTATACTTAGAAGGACTTTCACACTTTAAAATTATAATTTTTCTCTGCTTTAATTTTCATTTTATTTGAATGTTTTATGTGTATGAGAAAAGCACTCTGGGTGCCCTGGGAGTGGAGTTAGATTGTTGTGAGCTGCCTTGTGGGTACTGAGAATTGAACCCAGGTCCTCTGAAAGAACAGCCAGTGTTTTAAATCACTGAGCCAACTCTCCAGCCATTCCTATGGTTTCTTCTAGAATTCTTTGTGCACAGTGTCTTATGTTTGGGATCCTAAGAAAGTAATTTGAATGTGATAAATATCTTTAATGTATTCTAAACTCTAAGTCAGTTACACCAGATTATTTAAATGAACTCTTTTGCCATTGAATTTACATTAATACCCCTATGAGTGTTTTTGTCTAATTTTGACTTTTCTGTCAAACTGCTTCAGGATTGCAGCATTATGGAAATGAATTCATAGATTTAGGGGAGAAGTTTTGACACTTTTCATTCACAATTCCCTGGCTGTTGTAACCCATCTTTGTCGGGATTCAGTCCGATCCAGCTGACTTGTCAGGTTCATGCCTGGAACGGGGAGTGAGGATTGAGAAATGGCAGGTAAAGACTAGAGGAAAAAACAGACATAGGATAGAATCAAGAGGGCAACTCTAGGTTATTATTCAACACTCTTAAATACCCAAACTAAAAATGAGAGCAAAAGACTTCTTTATGAAGATTCAAGGAAGAAACAGAACTTCTTCCTTAATCCTCTAAACATTTGGTAACCACACCTTAGACTAAATTTCTCATTATCTGGCCTTAAGGGTCAAGAGTAACCACACCTCAGAGCAAATCTCTTGTTATTTAGATAAGATATCCACAACCAAAATCAAACATCCCACAACAGCCATGCCCTACATGAAGCAGAATCATCTCTGTGGGCCCCGACACCTGGCTGTTCTCAAATATGGTCTTTCCCTATCAGACTCAATGTAGAACTCTCGGCAATGTGCCCTTCATTATGCAAAAGGAGATGACATTCATGGATAAAGCTGCCCCATATTATTGCATAAATAAAGATGCCTGATTTTCCAAGTGTCCCCATTTCAAGCCAATCTGGCAAGCTTCTCATGAAATCCTATTGGTATTTGATTGAGATTGCACAGCAACTACAAATCAATTTAAAGAAAACTTACAATTTTTACAGTGCTATGGCCACTGTCTCCAGTACCAATATATTTTGTGTCATATACGTGTTTTCAGCTTCCACAGCCCTGCCAGTAAACAGATATCATGTTCATCTTAGAAACTCATGACTTCAGCAGAGTGAGTGTATATTTGGACTGGATTTAAGGAAATCAAAGGGATGACACAACACTTCAAGGAAGAGCATTCCCAGTTTGAGCACAAAGTGGCAAGGGAAAGGAACAATTACTAGAATTCAGCAGAGACAACACCTCTGGAGGGGCAAGAACATCAGAAGCTAAGAGTTACAACCAATGCCAGCCTAACCGAAGGAGGAAGCCACAGGTGAGGCAGACTGTACTCTCCTGTGCAAAAACTAGAACCTCTCTTTGCTCAAACTTAACCAGAAGACAGCAGCTAGCAAGGTGCTGTTTTTTGTACAGGCAACAACTCCCCAAAGCCAGTTAGAAAGTCTGGAAGACTGTGCTGGGGGAGGAGGGTAAGTATACATTGTGGTAAATTTATATTGTGGTAAGCACTTTGTCACACCACCCAAATCCCTTGCATTTCCTGTCAGTTCTTTTTCCTCATACACTTTAGAGTCTACTGTTTCAGTGGCATCTCCCCTTCCAGAACCAGTTCAGATCAGTTATTGTTTCTATGTGGGATGGCTGTTAGTTTTTATATATTGTTTACTCAGAAGAGTGTACGGATAAGGGACATTTGCTTTTTATTGCATGTGTAGTTATCACTGTGCAATCTGAACCAAGTCCAATGCTCTTCTTGCAGTATTGTAAGAAATAGACAATGAGGCATTTGCTTCAAGGACTGGAGAGATGGCTCAGTACTTAAAAGTACTTGGAGTAGATCAGGGTTTGATCTCCAGCATATACCACCCACATAACAGCGCATAACGGTCCATAAATCCAGTTTTAAATGATTGTTACTGCTTCTTTCGGTTGACAAGGTTTACTGGTTTGCAGGCGTTATTGATTACCTGGGATTTTGAAGTTGATTTATCAGGATTTTGTTTGTTTGTTTTTTGCTTTTCAAGACAGGTTTGTTTTGTATTGCTTTGGAGCCTGTCCTGGAACTAGCTCTGTAGACCAGGCTGGCCTCGAACTCACAGAGATCCGCCTGCATCTGCCTCCCGAGTGCTAGGATTGAAGGCATGTACCACCAATGCCTTTTAATTATTTTTATTTTATGTACATTGGTTTTTTGTCTACCATTACAGATGAGTGTGAGCTGCCATGTGGGTACTGGGAATTGAACCCAGGTTCTGTGGAAGAGTAGTCAGTGTTCTTAACTGCTGAGCCATCTCTCCAGCCTGATATAATAGGTTTATATAACCACAAATTAGAAAGTGGGTCAGAGGAAGACACTCTGAGAATATTGTAAAGTGTATATCACCCAAATGATCACAGGCCAGTTGACTCTCCATTGCAGTAGTCTGCTTCTCAGTAATTCAGAATAATTGGAAATAATAAATGCAGCCTTCCTCTGACCCCTTGTTAGGGGTCACAATCACCTAAAGAAAATTTTAATCCTTTGTCATTCTCTTAATTTCCATCATTGTTCATGAAAAGTAGAAGCAGAGGGTACCATCTGTGTTGTTTCAGTGGTAAATTTATTTCTGATTCTTCTGGCATGCTACAGCAAATGAAGAAGAAACTAGCAGCCTTACCAGAAATCAAGATTTGTATATTAAACCCAGTCTCAAGCTCTCACCTTGTCCCCATAGCTTGAACAATACAACTTGGCTCCTCATCACCACCTATGAGGACAACTCCAGTTACAAAGGATTCAATGTCCTCTTCTGACTTCTTCGGGCAGCAGACATGCACATGATATAAAGACAATACACTTGAGCAAAACAATAATTCACATAAAATAAAATAAATAAAATCTCTGTAGACCAGGCTGGAAAAAATGAAGACATTTGCATCATTTTCAGCATTTAATGACATAAATATGAATCAATTACAACTGCATGTTTTAACATAACATAGCGGTCCCTCATCAAATGTACTCTACTTGTTGTAGTTAATATTTTCTCAGCTAACTTAGGGTACAAATGCAGATCAGCATATTAACCCTGCTCATTATTAGCTGATTTCCACATGCTAATCTCTGCACCTACATTCTTGATGAAATAGGTATATTAAATAAGTTTAAACACAGCTACAATAATATAAGTGTGGCCACAGAAGGCTCCCTTAAACAGTAAAAAAGAGAATACTTCTCTTGGGGACCACACTTTGAGAAGCAAATCTTTCCTGACTGCAATATGGCTGACCTTTGGAAACTAAAGTGAGTGACCTATCTGGTAGCCTTTCTACCATTCAAAAACCAGTATCCCTTCAAACTGGGCTAAAGACAGAACAAGGTAAATTTAGGCTTATTTTGAAGATGTCTGTAAAGCAGTATTTCTCAACCTAAAACACACAGCTCATCAGGACATACTTTACAATCTCTGCAGGCATCTGTGATTGTCACAAGTAGAAGGAGGCAATGCCATTGGTATCTAGTGAGATAAGGAAAAATTCCACCAAATATCCTGTGCAATAACAAAGAATAATTCAATCAAAAATAATAATAGTGAGCTAGGGAGATGGCTCAACAGATAAAAGCACTTGCAGCACAAACCTAATGACCTGAGTTTGAATTCCCCAGAACCCTAGAAATATGGTGATTATGGCATAACCTCTCTAAATCTCAGAATTGTGGGGGTGGGCACAGGAGGATTTCCTGTATTAGCTGACCCCAGCCCTGCTTGGCATTCAGTAAAAGACTGTCTCAAAAAGATAAAGAGTAATGTAATTGGACACTTGAAGTACTCCCCTGGCCTCTTCATGCATCTGTACCTTCATACACATCACATTAACACACACACACACACACACACACACACACACACACACACACACACACACACACACAGCAATCAATCAATAGTGGAAAAGTTGAAAATCAGTGCTATAAAAGCAGAAAAAGATTTATATAAAACGTTATAACCGTTATTTGGGTTTAGAGACGTTGCCCCAAGTCTGGTGATAGAAATAAGAGGAACCTAGTGTTTCTGTAAACCTCATGTGTGGGGAGGCTTAAATAGTCATGCTCCTTCCTGCCCCCTCCCCTCCCCTGCCTTAATTTTGTACTTGGAAATCCCAGGGCCTGCAGCTCAGAGGTTCTGTGAGTCTATGCTTCTGTGGCCTCCTCTCTGTCTTAGAAGATTCCACAGACAGAATCGCTCCATGCCACCAAGAAAGGTATTTTAAGCATTGGGACACATTTGGATAATTTAAGTAAGTAAATGTATGTACTGTTGCAAGGGAGTGGGGAAGGGGAGGGAAGGAATCCAAGTCATATGCAAAAGCATTTTAGAAATAAAGAAAATAGTACTGTAGTCTAAAATGTCAATTCCTCAAAGACATACTAAAGACATACTTTCAGTAAAATTAGAAACAGTCTACTGAAGTCTGTCCTTATATCTAGCTTGAATGAAATAAATACTATAAGTATTCTCAACATCTTATAAAGCAATGTTCCCAGCATGTTTTTAAGCTATATTTTTGTTGCCTTTCAAGGGTCTCATTTGTTATCTCTGTTTCTCACAGCTGATGCCACTGGGCTCCTCTCAGGCTGATCCTGGTCTATCTCAGGCTCTGTTGTCCCCCACCTTTTGAACAAAAACTGAAAATGGTAAGGACAGCTAATGGAGCCTGAATTTGTCATTGATAATCTTTGTGGTAAGAACTGAAATCAGTTGCATAGGATAATATTTGAGAATTGTTCAAGAAAGGAGATGTGACTCAGTAGGAAAACACTTGCCAGGCATCCACACATAGCTTGGTTCCCTCCTGTAGTGTTATTTCCTAAGAGAGACTGCTTTCTGATATTTCATAACCAGTACAAATCAAGATAGTATTTAATAATTTCAGTTTAGTCATTGCTTTCTCTGTCTCACTTCCTATACAATTTAAATACAAACTGTAGCAAGCAAGAGTAGATGTTCAAATTGAGGATTTCAGTTTTTGGTTCTCCATTGTGGTCTGTAAAGGCATATAAGTGGCTATAGTGACTTAATGAAGTATCTTTCCTAGCATATGTTGTGACTGTCCTATATCTGAGTGACTGTACTGAAAAGGTGGAGCCAGGAGATACATATAACTAGCATGCCCTACCCCTGCCAAAGGTGCCCAGAGTTTGTGATCAGATGAAATGGGATTATCAGGGAGGCCTCAGGATGTGCCTGGCCTCGTTCTGAACATAGCCAGGACAAGTGGGATTTTAAAGCAAAGGGTGGGTGATAGCCAATGGATGGAAAATTACTAAGTGGAAACTTCAGGCATGTGGGGTGTTCTAGATAAATTGGCCTGACAAAGTTCTTGTTGGAGGCAGGCCAGGATGGTGCACTATTTCCTGGGGAATGAGGGGAGTGAGGAATGCCATGAGACACAATGGGGGCTGGGGCATGAAAAATGTAGGGTGGTTGGGGTGGGGGTGTGATCATAAACCAAGCTAGGATTCTCAATACAATGACTTAACAAGATCCCTGCCCATGTGAGACAAAACAAAGATGAGCACAAAGACCCACACAAAGGCCTAGGGCATATATGTGTGTGTGTGTGTGTGTGTGTGTGTGTGTGTGTGTGTGTGTGTATTTGATAACAGTGAAGCTCAAATAACCTTTGCAAGTGGCAATGAGGTAGGCCAAAAGCAAATCAGGAAAAGCTGCTTCTGAAATGATTTCCTCCATGCTAGACTCTACAAAGGAGTGATCAGCAGCAGCCCACTGTGATTTCCAGGCCATCACGCTGGCCCCAAGCTCAACTTTTAAGGTCTACTGAAGCGTTACCCAGGGAGCCACACTACTAAAAAAGAAGCAACTGTTTTGAGTTTCATTTCCTAGAAACCCAGATGTCTATTTTAATGCACACACATGTCCACATGTGTTCTTGCCGCCTAAGGGCGGCATGTTAGGAGGATGGTAGAAAAAAGAGTTGAATTCATTGACCATTTACTCTATGTAAGCCAAGCCTCATGCTTCTGTTTTGGCTCCAAAGCTTGTCTGAGGCACAGATAAAGAAACTGAGGTTTGAGGGGTTAAAGAGCTTGAGGACATGGTCCCTGCAGGCCAGCTCCTGAAGCTGGACCTCTAAGACTGTTCTGTTCCGCCAAACAAAACCTGACATTGCTTTCACACAACTGACAATCAACAAATGTGAGGTGCATCATGTTATCATTCTATTTGAGAACTAAGGAGAAATCGATGTAGTTGTGCATGAAAAATCATAAAAGCAATTTCAAAAGAAGTACAAAAGACCCAAAATACAGAGAAAATATCCAGTCTGTCAGTAGTCATGTCATTTGTTTTAATCTGGAAATTCCACTTCTAGAATATCTAGTTAAAGATGACCACGTGGGTGGTGAACTATTTGCCAAAACAGTACATGCAAGAAGACAAAGGATATGGCTCATGTTCCATGAAAGGGAAAGGTTTGTTCATTGTGGGATACTTATTAAGTGAAATGCTATAGAATCATCAAATCATGTTTTGAAGAGAGAGTATTGAATTATTTAAGAAGATAGAGTGTGATGTTAATTGAAAGAAAAAGCAAAGGAGAAATCAGTATAGGCTGTATATTTTCTGAAATTTTTAATGCACACACTAGACAAGTGTTGGATGCTTACCAAACACTGCATAATCTGTGGTTATGGTTTATACAAATAAGTGAGATATGTACTTTGATTTCACAAAACAGGCCTGAATTATAATTATTCTAAAGATTTATTTTATTTAAGTATTATTTATTTAGGCGGGTGAGTGACTTATGTGTGTGTGTGTTTGTGTGTACCTGTGTGAGTCCATGTGTACCATGTTCATGTAGATGCCTGTGGAAGCAAGAACAGGCTGCAAGACCCACTGGAACTGGAGGTATAGGTAGGTAGGAACCATCTGGTGTGGGTGCTGGGAACTGAACTCTGCGGTAAGTGGTCTTAACAGCTGAGCCATCTCTTCAGCTCTCGGTATAACTGTTTTACAAATGGGCAGTTACTGGTAAAGTGATACTTGAAAGCCAGAGTTCTTACCTGGCAGGCTAAGGGGTTAAAACCAAATCTCCCCTCTGGCAAAGCTCTGGCTATTACTAACATGATCCTCCCTCGCCTCATGAAATAGGTTGTAGATCAATCAGTGTTAGAAGGAAAAATACCAAACTGTTTACAGTGGCAAAACAGTTTTAAAACTGAAACATTTTACTTTTAACTACAACTATTGTTTTTCATGGCTAAATAAGGGGACAACAAGGCATTTACTACATTAATTAAATACAATTATTTTGAAAATTGTAACCTCTTGGTGGAATTAAAAACATCACTCCAGATGAATCAGGCAGCCTCTTTGCACCCAAGAATAGATTATTTCTATCTCATAATCTCACAATAGGTCATAGCTGAGTTTGAATAACTGTAGCTATATGCAGGCTGTCATTTTTGTAAATCCCAAAAACTAAGAATGCTGTCTGTGTTTTTGCAGTTCTTGATGGTTTCATACAATGAATTTTAGTCACTTTCACCCCTCGATCACCCTCTGTCATCTCTCTCCCTCTTCAGTGAAATTCATCTCCTTAAGTTGCCTTCCTTCTCATTTATCTTTGTCTGTGTTAGGATACTTACTTTGTTAGAGTTGTTCATGTGAGAATAGATGGGAGGTTCTATACTAGAGATGAATGCCAGAGCTGGAGTACTTCCCTGGCATATACAAGGTATTAGATTCAATCCTCAGCACCATTAAACAAATACATAAATAATTGAAACATATCAAGGGGAAATTATTAATCCATTATACTTTATAGTTAAATTCAGATTTACATGCTCACAAAATAGTGCACATGGGCGCGCGCGCGCGCGCGTGTGTGTGTGTGTGTGTGTGTGTGTGTGTGTATAGGTGCTTTTGGACTATGATGGTCAACTAGTCAATTAAGTGAATGGTGACAGAGTTGTATGACCTATAGAGTTTAAAATGCTCTTTGCAGAAACAGTTTTCCACTCTGTGGTTTATGGAAATCAAGGAGATAATAAAACTGATGTTGCATACACTTTAATGTCATGTGGTCTTTGATGACTATAATAGATAGTAGCTGCTGAGTGCCTATTTACTAACTGAGTTTTAAACCTGAAGCTGACATGGTAGAGAGTCTATGAATTTAAAAAAAAATGTGCCTTATTAAAAAGTAGGTTGCATCTTGGACTTGAACTTCAATTGTTGTTAAACAATAGGAGTTTGATATCCATAGAATCTACATTTTTTGCAGAGGTTGACCTATGAATAGAAATATTTCAAAATTCATGCAAAAAAGATACTGAGTCATAAGTCTATTAGGGAAATTTCTATCAAAGTCTCAGTCTATAAACAGTAACTTCCCTTATTCACAGCCCTTGGGACACTCCTAGGGAGATTTAGTTATTACAAATCTCATTACCACACCATTTGGTGTCATATCAGCATAGCCGAAGGTCCAATTCTAATTCAAGGGCTTCCAACAGTGACTGCTCACTACTCCCTTCTTTCACATGACTCTCTTCTCTTCTCCAGCCAGGCTGCCATCACCTCTGGACCACCCAGTCCCATCCAGCCCCAGGTTCCCCCAACAGGGTATAACTTCCCCAGGCTTCCTTTCACAACTTCACTGAATTCCTTCACTCCTCCATTCCCTCTGTCTCTTTCCATGCTTACTCCACCCCTCCCTGAAAGTGAATTCCATCCTTGCTTTAGACACAGGCGCTTTGGATTTGTTCTGCTTTGGGTTTTGAAAGGAGATTGCAGAAGTAGTTGTGTTAAGGGAGCCCATGCTTTGAAGACGAACATGCAGTAGCCTAGAAAAGACCCACTGTAATGGCTTTCTCATAAGTTGATTGAGTGGATGGGTAAAAAAGTAGAGGGGGAGAGAGAGAAAGTAAGAATGATGGAGGAAGGGAAGAAGGAGGGAGGGAGTGGTGGAGAGAGGAAGGGAGAGAGAGAGAGCGAGAAGGAGGGAGGGAGAAAAAAGAGAAGAATTGTGAATCTCAACATGAATTCCATTCTGTGTTATTTTATGAAGACAATCCAATCATATAATTCATAATAAGCTGTGCAAAATTGTGTGTCAGGGGTCGCCTGAGTTTGGCTGACTAATTCTCATACTGACTTTCTTCTGCAGTGGTAGTCAGAGACTGGTTTGAATCACCCAGGAGCTTTGACAGCTTGGAGTCCAGAACAGTGAGGGCTTCTCGAATGTCCTCTCTTTGTGATCTCTGTAATGTGGGACCTGTAGTACAGCAAGGCTTTTTACTAGACTCCAAAGTGGGGAAAAAGGGGGAGAGGGAGAGAGTGTGGGGTAGAGAGAAACACTACTGCCTATGTCTTTGTTCCTCTTGACAGGAAATCCCTCAGTATGTGTGTGCTGCTCAGTACTTCTTATATTCATATAGAACTTAGAAAGTATTGTACCTTCAAAGTACCTCAGGTACACAGCCAGTTCTCATCACTTCCAGCACTGCCTTCTTGACTGCTATCTTGGTCTTTGCTTGACCTCCTAAACAGCCTCTGCACTTGTCTCCATATTTGCCCATTTACCCTTTATCCTCTGTTCTCCACACTACTCTAAAAGATTAGCATCTGCTTTTAGTCATCCAGAAAACATGTAGTGGCTCTGAATTCC